ATGTGCTGCTCTTAGTTGCTGCTGCTGCTGCTGCCTGTGTTGGGACCTTTGAAGCGAAGCCGCCGCTGCTGCTGCTGCTGCTGCTGCTGCTGCTGCTGCTGTTGCTGCTGCTGCTGCTGCTGGGGACAAGCAGAGAGGTGGACACTGCAAGCGATGCTGCCAGCATCTGCTGCTGCGCCTCGCTGGCGCACACAGCAGCCGCTGCAGCAGCCACATCTGCTGCAGCAGCAGCAGCATCTGCTGCTGCTGCTGCTGCAGGCCGCCCTGCTGCTGCTGCAGGTGCTGCTGCTGCTGCTGCTGGATATATACCTGAAATAAAGGGTGGGGCAAAAAATGCAGCATCCAGGCGGAAGGGTCTTTTGGACTTTCCTTTGGACGCAGCAGCAGCAGCAGTTGCTGCTGCTGCTGCTGCTGCTGCTGCTGCTGCTGTTGCTGCTGCTGCTTCGTTGGCTGCTGCTGGCGTCTCTGCAGCCGCCGTGGCTGCTGCTCCCTTCGAAGCAGCTGCTGCAGCCTGGTGAGCCGCAGCAGCAACAGAAGGTGCAGCAGCAGCAGCAGTAGTCGCTGCTGCAGCAGCAGCAATGTCTGGGGCTGCTGCTGCAGCAGGTGCTGCTCTTGTTGCTTCAGCAGCAGCAACAGTGCGCAGCAGCCGACGCATGCATGAGTTGCTGCTGCACTTTTCTGCTGCTGCTGCTGCTGCAGCACGGGCCTTCATCCTTCCCAGCAGCGTCCACGAGCCGCCGTGTTGCTGCTGCTGCTGCTGCTGCTGCTTTTGCTGCTGTTGCTGCTGCTGCTGTAGTTGCTGCTGCTTCTGGCTGTACACGGCGAAATCAGCAGCAGTGAGCAATTCTTCCCGCGATATTGCTGCTGCTGCTGCTGCTGCTGCTGCTGCTGCTGCTGTGTCACTTAGCTGCTGCTGCTGGTAGAGGGGGCTCGGAGGCAGCGTCCCCTTAACAAGCAGCTGCAGCATCGGAGGCAGCAGCAGCTGCTGCTTTTGGTGCTGCAGTTGCTGCTGCTGCTGCTCCTGCTTCGCTTGCTGCTGCTGTGGCTGGTCTCGCTGCTGCTGCTGCTGCTGCTGCTGCTGCTGCATTTGTTGCTGCCACGCGCTGCCGGACGGAAGATTCTCAGCTGCTGCGGATTTTGCTTCTGCTGCTGTTTCTGCAGCAGCAGCAGCAGCAGCAGCAAGAGCAGCAGCAGGTTGCATGCCACCTGGTGCTTCAGCAGCTCCTGGTGCAGCATCAAAACCTCGTCCTGCTGCTGCTGCTGCTGCGGTTGCTGCTGTCGCTGCTGCTGCTGCTGTCGCTGCTGCTGCTGCTGCAGGCGGCGTTTTTGCTGCGCTGCTTTGCTCACCAGAAAATTTATCCAGTGCAGGAAGACAAGCTGCTGCTGCTGCTGCTGCTGCTGCTGTTGCTGTTGCTGTCGTTGCTGCTACTGCTGCTGCTGTGGCTGCTGCACCATCTTCCGTTTTGTCTGTAGGTGCTGCGCAGTGCATTACTCTTGCTGCTGTTCCTGCTGCTGCTGCTGCTGCTTCTGCATCTGCTGCTGCTGCTGCTGCATTTGCTGCTGTTGCATCGGCTGCTGCTTCTTCAGCTGCCTGTGCATCCGCTGCTGCTCCATCTGCTGCTGCTGCTGCTGCTGTATCTGCTGCTGCTGCATCTACTGCTGCTGCATCTACTGCTGCTGCATCTGCCGCTGCTGTATCTGCTGCTGCTGCATCTTCCGCTGCGTCCTCTTCTGCTGCTGCACCTGCTGCTGCTGCATCTGCCGCTGCTGTATCTGCTGCTGCTGCATCTGCTGCTGCTGCATTTGCTGCTGCTGCATGTGCTGGCGCAGCTTCAAGGTTTTGTGCTGCCTGTGCGATTGTCTCTGCTGCTGCTGCTGCTGCTGCACTTGGGTCTTCTGCTGCTGCTGCTGCTGCTGCTGCTGCTGCTGCTGCTGCAGCTGAGTTTTGCATTGATGCAGCTGCGGCATTTACTGCTTCTGCTGCTGTCTCTTCAACTTTTGCTGCCGCCAGCGCGTCTGCTGCTTCTGCCTTTGCAGCCGGTGCTGTTGCTGCTGCTGCTGCTGCTGCTGCTGTTGCTGCTGCTGCTGTTGCTGCTGCTGCTGCTGCCTCGGCTCCTTCCTCTATCGACTCCACTTTCAATTCTGCTGCTGCTGCTGCTGCTTTTGCTGTCATTTCTGTCTTTTCTTCTGCTGCTGCAGTGTCGGCTGTTGCTGCGTCTCTTGCTGCTGCTGCTGCTGTTTCTGCTGTTGCTGCTGCCGCTGCTGCTGCTGCTGCTGCTGCTGCTGCTACTGCTTTTTCTGCATCGTTATATGCTGCCGCTCCCGTTGCTGCTGGATCTGCAGCTGTTGCTGCTGCTGCTGCTGCTGCTGCTGCTGCTGCTATTTCAGCTGCTGCAGCTCCTTTGCTTGCAGCTGTGTCTGGTAGAACATTTGCTGCTGCTGCTTCTGCTGCTGCTGCTCCAGTTGCTGCTGCTGCTGCTGCAAGCTCAAGCTGACTGCTGCTGGGAGAACACAGAAGTTTCTCCCCACAAGCTGAAGCAGCAGCTTCTGCTGCTTCCTTCTGTGCTGCTGCTGCTGCTGCTGCAGCTGGCGCAGCAGTCACTGGGTGGGCTGCTTCTGCTGCTGTTGCTGCTGGTGTTGCTGCTGTTGCTGCTGTTGCTGCTGCTGCTGCTGCTTCTGCTGCAGCAGGCATCGCCCCTAAGCCTGTGAAGCTGGTGAAACTATCGCTGTCTTCATTCAAATTGAGGCTGTTGCTGCTGTTGGCTCTGCTGCTGCTGCTGCTGCTGCTGCTGCTGCTGCCCTCCAGGCTGCTGCTCTCGTCTATTGGACTGTCCATTTTGCTGCTGCTGCTGTTTTGCTGCGCTGCTGCAGCTCCCACGATATCTTTTGAAGGCCTGCTGCCCTTGTTAGTGCTGCTGCTGTTGCTGCTGCTGTTGCTGCTGCTGTTGCTGCTGCTGTTGCTGCTGCAGGAGCAGCAGCAGCAACAGCAGCAGCAAGTGCAGGAGTCTACCCCGCACCCACTGCTGAGCTGCTGCTGCTGCTGCTGCTGCTGCAGCTGCTCAGCAGCAGCAGCTAAGGTTTCCGGCTGCTGCAGCAGCCGGTGCTGCTGCTTCTGCTGCTGCTGTTGCTGCTGCTGCTCGTCTGCTGCAGCAAAGACAACACCAGACTCCACTCTAAATTCTATTTGCTTCCTTCACAGAGTTGTTTGCTGCTGCAGTGCATGCACTGGGGCTGCAGCAGCAGCCCTTAGGGGCACTAGGGGGCCCCACGGGGCCCCCGGGGGGCCCCCGGGGGGCCCCCAGGGGGCCCCCCGGGGGCCCCCTTCTAATTAGAAACGAAAAAACAATTTTTAATTATATAAATTTAGTTTAAAATAATATTTTAATCATTTTATATGGCCTGCTGCTTCCGCTGCATGTGCTGCTGCTGCTGCTGCTGCTGCACGTGCTGCTACTGCTGCGCTACTGATGCTGCTGCTGCTGCTGTGGCCACTGCTGCTACTACTGCTGCTGCTGCTGTGGCCACTGCTGCTGCTGCTGCTGCTGCTGTGGCCACTGCTGCTACTGCTGCTGCTACTGCTGCTGCTGCTGCTGCCGCTGCTGCTGCTGTGGCCACTGCTGCTACTGCTGCTGCTGCTGTGGCCACTGCTGCTACTGCTGCTGCTGCTGCTGCTCTGGCCACGGCTGCTACTGCTGCTGCTGCTGTGGCCACTGCTGCTACTGCTGCTGCTGCTGCTGCTGTGGCCACTGCTGCTACTGCTGCTGCTGCTGCTGCTGCTGCTGTAGCTAGTGCAGCAGCTTAGACTGCCAAGGGAGTTCTTTTTGTAGCTTTAAAATTGATGCGGCCAAACTAGATTCTGAGAGTTGCTGCTGCAAAGGCTGCAGCAGCTGCATCGGCAGCAGCAGCAGCAGCAGCAGCAGCAGCAGCAGGTGTAACAGCAGCAGCAAGAAGCTGCACGGACGGTTGCAGCCGTTGCTGCAGCAACAACAGCAGCATGAGCCGCTGGCAGCAGCAGCAACAGTTGCTGCTGCAACAGCCTCATCTTCAGCAGCTGCAGCAGCTGCAGCAGCAGCAGCAGCTACAGCAGCAGCAGCAGCAGCAGCAGCAGCTCACTTTGCCTTCACTTGGCGTTTTTGCTGAATATTCTTTTGACTCTTTTCTTCAACTTCGTCTTTCTTCTTTTACTTCTTTTTTCTTTTTTATTTTTTATTTTCTTTTTATTTTCTTTTTATTTTCTTTTTATTTTATTTTTATTTTCTTTTTAATTTCTTTTTAATTTCTTTTTGCTGCTGCTTTTGTCTTCTTCTGTTTCTCCCGTTCTAAAGTGCCGCAGCCCAAACGCCTCCTATTGCTGCAGCAGCAGATGCTGCTGCAGCAGCAGCAGCTGCAGCAGCAGCAGCAGCTGCTGCTGCTGCTGCAGCTGTTGCTGCAGCAGCTGCTGCTGCAGCAGCTGCTGCTGTTGCAAAAGCATTGGCGCCCCTGCGGGGCTCCTGCGGTGTCGATACACCCCAACGCCAAAAGGCCCTCACGCGGCAGCGCAGTCCCACTTGCTGCTGCTGCTGCTGCTGCTGCTGCTGCTGCTGCTGCTGCAGCTGCTGCTGCTGCTGCTGCTGCTGCTTCCTAAGTGCTGCGCCAGTCTGCAGTTGGCTAGCTGAGTTAGCGCCCGGCTAAATTTGCTGAGGGCTGCCTCAGCCTCCTCTTCTGCTGCAGCAGCAGCAGCAGCAACGTGCTGCTGCTGCTGCTGCTGCTGCTGCTGCTGCAGCTGGCGCAGCTGCTGCAGCGGGGGGACTGGCAGCTCTTTAAAGAGACACTCCAAAGCTCTGGGGGGCCCCCACCGCCACAGCGCTATTACGTAAACTGCTGCTGCTGCTGCTGCTGCTGTTGCTGCTGCTGCTGCTGCTGCTGAATCAGCAGCAGCAGCCTGCGCACATGCAGCAGCAAAAGCTCCGCTTTCGCCACCTGCAGCAGCAGCAGCAGCAGCAGCAACAGCAGCACGAGGTCGCATGTCGCGGCAGCCGAGAAGCAACGCCTTAAGCAGCTGGTACTGCTGCGCCGCCCCACGCCTGCTGCTGCTGCTGCTGCTGCTGCTGCTGCTGCTGCTGTCAGATTCGCTGTCACTGCTGTCGCTTTGCTGCTGCGTCCTGTGGGCCGCTGAGATGGCAGCAGCAGCAGCAGCAGCAGCAGCAGAATCGCCTCGCTGCTGCTGCTGCAGCAGCTGCTGCTCGTAGGGCAAGGGGTAAGAGAACCAAGTGTCTGGATGCAGCAGCAGCAGCACCTTGACGCGTGGGCCCCCTGCTGCTGCTGCTGCTGCTGCTGCTGCTGCTGCTGCTGGAGATCCTGCTGCTTCAAATGCAGCAAGCTGCTGCTGCAGCAAAGGGGCCCACCCCTGCTGCTCAGCCCAGAGGTCAGCGCAGGAAATGGGGTGTACGTACACCTCACTGTTCTGCTGCTGCTGCTGCTGCTGCTGCTGCAGCAACTCCCGACTAATTATGCGGCCTCCACTGCTCCCAAGCACCCAGTGCCTGCTGCTGCTGCTGCTGCTGCTGCTGCTAGTGCTGCTGCTGCTACTGCTCCTCCCGCTGCTGCTGCTAGTGCTGCTGCTTGCACATTGCGAAGACAGTGCAGCAGCTGGAAGTGCCTCCCCTTGCTGCAGCGCTTGCTGCTGCAGCGCTTGCTGCTGCAGCGCTTGCTGCTGCAGCGGCTGCTGTTGCTGCTGCTGCTGCTGCTGCTGCAGAAGCCTGAGGATGAGCTGTGTGGAGAGGCCCGGATATCTGGAGCAGCACTTTAGAGAAAGGAAGAAGCAGCACTTGCTGCAGCCGCCCACCCTACCTAAGCAGCAGCAACTGCTGCTCTTGCTGCTGCTGCTGCTGCTGCTGCTGCTGCTGCTGGCGTGATCCTGGATCTGCTGCAGCAGCTGCGGGAAAGTTTCAGGCAGCAGATCCCCAACGCCTGCTGCTGCTTCCATTTCGAGGAAAGCCGCATACCGTGCTGTTGCTGCTGCTGCTGCAGCTGTTGCTGCTGCGGCTGCTGCTGCTGCTGCTGCTGCTGCTGCTGCTCTCGCTGCTGTAGCTGCTGCAGCAGCAGCAGCAGCAGTAATAAGCCAAAATCCACAGCAAAAAGTCAAATATGTATTTCAATGTCCAGATTGCCTCAGAAGAAGATGAAGGGGCCCCGGGGGCCCCCCATGGGGGCCCCCTGGGGCCCCCATGGGAGCCCCGTGTGGGGCCCCTGGGGGCCCCCTTGGGGCCCCCTGGGGGCCCCCTGGGGGCCCCCAGGGGCCCCCCATTAGGTTTGAAATGAGATAATCTTTTCTGTTGGCTTTTATATATTAAAAATAAAACAATTTGTTGAATTTTCAGCGTTAAGCTTGACAGTCAAACCCTAAACCCTAAACCCTAAACCCTAAACCCTAAGTGGTGCAGTGGTGGCCCACAGGAGGTTGGAGTGTACAGACAGCCGAGAAAACATTGCCAAATGGACTTTCGAGGGGAAAATGAGGGAAATTTTGGCGAAAAAAGAAGAAAATAAATAAATAAAAACAAAATTAATCATTTAATTCAACTTTTTGAGCTCTTAAACCCTCAAAAGTCTTCAAATCCTCAAATTCGGCTTTCCTCTTTCCCGCGAGGGTTTAGGGTTTAGGGTTTGGGGTGTATGTACACCCCGCGCGCTACGGCGCAGAGATCGCGAAGTGGAAATTCGGGAAATGAAAGAGTTGGAGAAATAAAAGAAATAAAAGAATAAAATAAATGAAAGAATTAAATAAATGAAATAAATAAATAAATAAATAAATAAATAAATAAATGAAAGAAACAAAAGAAATAAAAGAAACGCTCGCTCCGCGTTCTGTACGTACACCTGGAGGTCTTTGTCGCTTTTTTCGTTTCTTTTCATTTTTGTTTATTTTTGTTTATTTTCGCTCATTTTTATTTATTTTTAGATTCATTTTTGTTTATTTTTATCCTTTTTGTTTCATTTTGTTTATTTTTGTCCCTTTTTGTTTATTTTTTGTTTCTTTTTGTTTATTTTTTGCCTTCATTGTCTTCTTTTTGTTTCTTTTTGACCTTTTTTGTTTTCTTTTCTTTCTGCCCCCTTTTGTTTCTTTTGCTTTTTGCTCTCTTTGTATTGTCTTTTAAAATGCTTCTTGTTGCTGCTGCAGCAGATTCAAACGGGCAGCAAAACAACTAAGTGGCTTCCCTGCTGCTGCAGCAACACCAGCAGCAGCAGCTTGCTGCTGCTGCTGCTGCTGCTGCGGCTGCGCAACCACGCAGTTGCTGCTGAAAATAGATCTAAACTGTTTAGGCAGCAACACTAGCTCATGTGGAAGCAGCAGCAGCAACAGGGGCTTCTGCTGCTGCTGCCTACATTGCTTCTGCAGCTGTAATAGCAGCAGCAGCATCTGCTGCTGCTGCTGCTGCTGCTGCTGCTGCTTATGGCAGCAGCACAAAGTCTCCATCGGCGAAGAGCCGCTCATAAACTGCATCACCAATTTGATATCTGCAAACAAATAAAAAAATGTCCCCTGGCCCCTTAGCAGCAGCAGCAGCAGCAGCAGCAGCTGACGAAGCAGCAGCAGCAGCAGCAGCAGCAGCTGACGAAGCAGCAGCAGCAGCAGCAGCAGCAGCTGACGAAGCAGCAGCAGCAGCAGCACAGGAAGCAGCAGCACCCCATCCACTGCACTGGCAGCTACACCGGGTTCCCGGTAGCAGCATCTCACGCAAGTCAGCAGCAAAAGCAGCAGCAGCAGCAGCAGCAGCAGCAGCAGCAGCAGCAGCAGCTCGGACCCAGCCAGCCCAGCAACAGCAGCAGCAGCCACTTTCCCAAACTGCTGCAAAACAACCCAGCGAGCCCCAAACCACCAGCAGCAGCAGGAACAGCACTAACAGCAGCAGCAGCAACAGCAGCAGCAGCAGCAGCGACAGCAGCAGCAGCAGCAGCAGCAGCAGCAGACTTGATGAAGAGGAAGAGGGGCCCCTTGTCTGTGGGGTCGGAAGCATCACAAAATCCCAACAAGTTCTTTTTGCTTCTTTGCGACAAATCCATTTTGCTGCTGCGGACGCAACTCATCAGCGGCGCCCAAACGCTTAGTGCAGCGCCAAACTCCGGGCTAAACACCCTGCTGCTGCTGCTGCTGCTGCTGCTGCTGCTGCTGCTGCTGCTGCTGCTGCTGCTGCTGCTGCTGCTTGCTGACTGGTCCGGGGGGGCTGGAGGGCCCCTCGCTGCCTGCTGCTGCTGCGTCTGCTGCTGCTGCTGCTGCTGCGTCTGCTGCTGCTGCTGCTGCTGCTGCTGCTGCTTGGGAGCGGCGAATTGCTGCAAGAGTGCCGAAGTAAGCCTCCAGAATTATGAGGCCCCCCTTTTGCTTTTCTGCTGCTAAGACATTTTCTGCTTCTCGCAGCAGCAGCCGCTGCTCCGCGAGGGCCCTTTCGAGAGCAGCAGCACGCCGCGCTGCAGCAAGCGCTTCGGGGGCCTCCTGCTGCTGCTGCTGCTGCTGCTGCTGCGCTGCAGCAGCAGGCTCGCGGCGCAGCAGACGCGCAAACGAGTCCAGATATTCCAGAGAAAAACGCCCCTTTGCTGCTGCTGCTGCTGCTGCTGCTGCTGCTGCTGCTGCCCGCGACACAAAGCTCAGCAGCATGCACCAAGCAGCAGACACACCGCGCAAGGGACCGGCAATAACTGCAGCAGCAGCAGCAGCAGCAGCAGCAACAGCAGCAGCAAGTTTGACATTTCCAGCAAGTTTATGGAAAGGAGGCCTCAAAAGCAGCCGCAGACAAACAGCCCGCAGGCAGCAGCAGCAACTGCAGCAGCAGCAACAGCAGCAGCAACAGCAGCAGCAAGAGCAGCAGCAGCAGCAGCAGCAGCAGCAGCAAGAGCAGCAGCAGGCTACCTTGTTCTGGGTTTTGCATGCAGAGGAAGAGAGAAGGAGGGACACAAAGAGCAGCAAAAAGAGCAGCAGAGAAAAAGGCGGGGTTGCTGAGGAAGAAGCCCTGGATTGCTGCTGCTGCGGTTTGCTGCTGCAGCAGGTGCTGCTGCTGCTGCAGGCGCTGCAGCTGCTGCAGCTGCTGCTGCAGCTCCGCAGCAGCAGCAAACAGCCGCAGCGGGAAGGCCACGGATAGACCATTGGTCTTTCCTTTTAATGTCAAGTGCAGCAAACCAGGCCGCCACTCCAAAGAGTATAAAACCCTAAAACTCTCTTCGCCCCAGCCCCTCGAGAACACCCACTGCACCTGCAGCAGCAGCAGCAGCAGCAGCAGCAGCAGCAGCAGCAGCAGCAGCAGCAGCAGGGGGGGGGGCGGCAATGCAGCGGCCGCAGCGGTGGGGGCTCGGGCACTGCAGCAGCTGCAGCAGCAAGGGATGCCGCTGCTGCTGCGGTACCTGCTCTACAAGCAATTCCACAGCAGCAGCAGCAGCAGCAACAGCAGCAGCAGCAGCAGCAGCAGCAGCAGCAGCAGCAGCAGCAGCAGATCGCACCTTGGTGGTGAGTCCTCTCCGAAGGGAAACCTGGGGCTTGACAGCAACAACAGCAGCACGAGGAGCAGCAAAAGCAAAGACCCACTTGCATGCAGCAGCAGCATCATCTGGCAGCAGCAGCAAAGACAATTGTCTTTCTTCTTCTTTCAAAACGGGGGCCCCCAAAGACAGCCACTTCAACAAACCAAAGGGCCCCCCTTCGAACCAGGGGGCCCCCTGGGGGCCCCCCTGGGGGCCCCCCAGGGGGCCCCACGCGGGGGGCCCCTCATCCTGGGGGCCCCCCTGGGGGCCCCCCGGGGGGCCCCCCGGGGGGCCCCCCTGGGGGCCCCTCTTCTGTAGGGGGCCCCTAAGACCTCCCACTATGTTTGTTGGGGACTGGAGGAGAGTTGGAGTTGCTTCTGCTGCGCAAATGCCCTGAAAAGCTGCTGCTGCAGACACCCTGCTGCTGCTGCTGCTGCTGCTGCTGCTGCTGCTGCTGCTGCTGAACACCAAAGGCGTGTCTGGGGGGAGACTGCGGGGCCAACGGCGGGCG